CCCATTATAAAAACCTCATTCACCATGTTCCTCAAACGAAATTTAACGAAATTCAAGCAATGCCAAGAAACTATCAAATAGTCATTGAAACGGTACTGGAACCCTACCGGCAACATTCCGCATAACGTAATATTGCCAAAATTCAACAGTGCACTTCATTAGATAGAAATTAAGGCGATATAAGAGAAGAACTGAAATATTTCATCTATATTTTTCTCGTTTTCAGACGCCCACGACGTAGTCCAGAAGTTTTGGCCTCCGTTCTCGATACGTTTAATTTGGTATGATCTCTTTGTTCGATCAGCTTCATCTGACAATGAGCGCAATTTCCATCAGCCAAGCAGCAAAGCATGCTCATTCATTCAAATAAACTTTGATTCGAACCCATTCAATTAAGCCCATGCAAATGAAATTTAAATCCCAATAATATTCAAAATCAGTTACACAAATTAGTTTAGAGTCGTGCTGCAAGCTTGCACCTGGAATACGGTCTAGTTGATGATCCCATTGTGAACGAGTTTGGTCTTGAATTGAACTGTTCTGGGGAAGTATCTGAAAATGGTAAAGGTGCAACTCCTTTCGGCGCGGCTCCCATGCAACTACTATCCATGCAAAACTCAACACCAATGCTGCAGATCGTTGTGTCCGATTATGTCACTAATTCGTTGATGTATCATGGACATAAGTACGTTCATTGCAATCATTTATTTATTACGATGACATTATTTATTAGAATGATATTATTGAAAGCATTTATTTTACAAACTTCAACACTGCATCATAGCATGTCATCAGTTCCACGTCGAACTCTTTCATTTTGAAATTTTCTATGGAATTCAAGAGTTTAGATGATTGCGGGTAAATTTCTTGCGGTTTCGATGAAGTGCGATAATTTCGTTTATACTTTGATAATAATTTCATAATTTCATCACTCACCCTCTTCAACTCATATTTTTGATGTATCGTTCAATTTCAGGATCGGATTATTCAACACACGGGTGGATCCGA